CATTACGGTACAGTACAGGAGCGGTTACACAAATCGTGTCCGATTTCCGATACGATTGCGTGAGCATTCACAATTAACAATAAGTGTCTCAGATCGATCTCAGTTTTTATACTATCCTCTGTTACACTGCGTTTAGTCTAAAGGAGAAACGTTTTTCTGGTTTGGTCTACACAGGACAAAAGAGTATTGGTCAACAGACAGAGCATTCGGTTAGGCAGGATGCGTTTCTTGATTTTTTATGGATTACATAGCGATCCTGTGAAGCAAGGCCGGTGCTAATGATATGTCATTTTTCATATTGTAACTGACAATAACTCAGCCCAAAAATGTGACTGACATCAGGCGATTTTGAATTGTTGATTTTGGTCTTCACCCTACGATTTTAGGTCCACCGTTAAGCTGCGACAATCAATAGGCAGATGTCACATACCAACTGAAACTCTTGATTTGGGCACCGTGGTGTATTCTGCATAGGGATGAAAGTGCAAAGCATTGTTTCCCAATATTTCAGTGGAGAATGTGTTGGCTTTGTAAAGCAGAGTGAAAAAAATACTCGTTCGTTATAAGTGGCATGCTCCGCTTCATTGAAGTTTACCCAATCCAGGACTCATCGAGTATTCTAGTGCCCAACTTTAATCTTATGTTTACCCAAACACGTGGTTCAGGCTTACGGTTTGTAAACAGAAAAAACGGTCCCGATTCGTCACAGTCACTCGAAACTTGGTGGACTCTTCTAACCCTGGAGCCTTCCACAAATCTGGACCAAACGGGATAACAAGCTTGTGGATTTGTCCACACAAAAGACCTACAATAACCTTGGTATAGTGTGTTTAACAGGTAACGTGCTTCTTTTTGGCTCCTCTCGCGTAAGGAGTGGTTCCTCGGACTGGCAGCTACCCAGCAATCAGTCATGTACCATAGAACGCAGAAATCTGACCACTGTCACTACTAATATATTACAAAATCGAATTCGTGTGCATCATCAAACCTCGAATAAAATTGTTCGGTCTCAAGAAAGATGATAAACGACGATAAATGCTACGTGATGAACTTACAAACCTCAAGATTGTTACGGTAAATTCGAAAAAGTCGAGGTCTATAAGATAGAAGATAGAAAGCAAAAGGGATCATAATGAAAGCCGAATCTATCTTAGTGCAGGCTTTTCAAAAAGCTCCCCACAATTTTGAGAAGTCAGTTTGAATCACATGGCACCCGCTAGTCTTGAGGTTGATTTCATGTTTTGCGTATGATTTGCGCGATTTTGTGTGCGCAAACGGGCTCATTTGAATGGCAACCGTGCTGTTGTTGTTCTTGGTGGTGATGGTGGTGACTCGACGTGCGCCTCACAGTTGTTCCCGTCCCGCATGCGTTTGATTGTAAGGTCAACATAATCCATGTCGGCATTGTCACAGCGGTTAACACAAGTCACACATGCATTGGTTTCGGTTTAATGCTTCGGCGCATTCTGACCTAAAGTCAGACCGGCAAACGTGTGCCGGTGGAATTGCTTCTTCGTGCTTCACACCAGAAAACAAGCTTTGTCAGTCAACTATGGCAAGAATGGAACGAAAATGACAAGCAAGTTACACGTGCGATTGCCGATCATACTGTATACTGGGTTGTGTACACAGTTCTATCTGGCGGGTCGATCAGCTTCTCACAAAGATAAATAGCTGGGAACAAGTGTTGAGTCAAACATATTCAAAACGGTTAGTATGAATTAGATAGAAACTGCAAGATTTTTGAGG